GTGTATTATCAAGGGTGAAACAGATCGCCAGTCAGTGTTAGATGCATGAGACAAGTGCTTGGGGCTGGTGCACTGGGATGACCCAGAAGGATGGGATGGGGAGGGAGGTGGGAGGGGGGTCAGGATGGGGAACACATGTACACCCGTGGCAGATTCATGTCAATGTATGGCAAAACCAATACAAAATTGTAAAGTAATTAGCCTCCAATTAAAATGAATAAATTTATATAAAAAAATAAAAATGGGCAGAGGACTCAAATAGACATTTTTCAAAAGAAGATATATGAATGGTCAACAGATGCATGAATAGATGGCCAACATCACTAGTCATCAGAGAAATTCAAATAGAAACTACAGTCTACCCATCTATTAGAATGGCTACTATCAAAAAGACAGGAGATTGGCAAGGATGTGGAGAAAAGGGAATCTTAAGCACTATGCGTAGGAATGTAAAATGGTACAGCTACTATGGAAAAGCAGTATGGAGGTTCCTAAAGAAATTAAAAACAGAACTACCATGTGATCCAGCAATCCCACTCTGAGTATGTATCCAGAGGAAATGGAATCACTATATCAAAGAGACATCTGTGTCTCCCTGTTTGTTGCAGTATTCCTCACAGTGGCCAAGAGGTGAAAAGCTTCAGTGTCTGTTGATGGATGAATGGATAAAGAAAATGTGAGATATATATATACACACACACATATATATGTGTATATCATACAATGAAATATTATTAAGCTGTTTAAAAACAGAAGGAAGTCCTGTCATGTATGACAACATGGGTGGGCTGTGAGGGCATTATGCTGAGTGAAATAGTCAGAGAAAGACATTTACTGTATGATATCACTTAAATGTGGAAGTAAAAAAAAGCTGGACGCATAGAAACAATGGCTGCTGCTGCGGGCTGGGGGGGTGAGGGAAATGGAGATATTTGTCAAAGGATACAAACTTCCAATTATAAGATGAATAAATTGAGGAAATCTAATATACAACAATATACCAAGGCTTCCCTGGTAGCTCAGTTGGTAAAGAATCCACCTGCAATGCAGGAGACCCCAGTTGGATTTCTGGGTCGGGAAGATCCCCTGGAGAAGGGATAGGCCACCCACTCCAGTATTCTTGGGCTTCCCTTGTGGCTCAGCTGGCAAATAATCTGTCTGCAATGGGGGATACCTGGGTTCGATCCCTGGGTTGGGAAGATCCCCTGGAGAAGGGAAAGGCTACACACTTCAGTATTCTGGCCCGGAAAATTCCATGGACTGTATAGTCCATGGGGTCGCAAAGAGTCGGACATGACTGAGCAACTTTCACTTTCAATGTACAACAGGCTGACTATAGTTAGAAGTACTATATCATATACTTAAAAGTTGCTACAAGTAGATCTTAAATAGTCTCACCACACAAAAAAAGATGTTAATTATGTGTGAGGTAACGGAGGTGTTAACTAACCCTATTCTGTTAATCATTTCATATTATATACATAATAAAAGCATCACATTATGTACCTTAAACTTACACAGTTATATGTAATGAGTTACATCTCATTAAGCTGGAAAATTTTGACATTAAAAACCAAAACCACTGCTTAACAGTAAGTAATAAAATTAATTAAAAATAAATTTGCTTGATACCAACAGCTAAAAGATTAAGAAATCATAAAATTGATAAAGTAACTCAAGGAGTCTTGAATTAAAATAGAAAATACTCTGAAAAATAAAGATAAAGTGAGGTTAAAAGAGAATTAAAATTATTAAAATTATTTTTTAAATTAGGGGAAATAAAATGTAAAAGATTATATATATAAAAGTTGAAGTTTAACATGCTGATCACAGTTATAATAAAATAAAAAGATAAATATAAGATTATTGAATTCAGAGAACAAATTTAGATAGGAGGAAAAAACAGTTAAAATGAAGAACTGATTCTTAATAAGAAGTAAATTCCAGCTGATTAGACATAAAATATACAGTACAATAAGAAATATAAAAATTGAGTGGACAAAAAGACAAAACATGTTTAAGCAATGCAAAAAACAGATGAACAATTTTGGAGTGTAAGAAATTTAAAATGTAAAATTTTACTGAATTAAAAGAGATAGCATCTTAAGTACTTAAGGTTAACACCTTGTTTCAGGGTAAGTAAGGTTTCTGGGTAAAGCCAGGCTCCTTAGTTGGGATTGAGCAAAGAAGTCATAACATTCATCTCCCCCTAAATGACAGCTTCCAGTGCCTGCATCTCAAAGATTCTAAAATACTGCCAAAAGGCCTGCAGAGAGGTCACACCAAGAGCTGAGCCTCCGTGAGCAGCCCAGACATGCTGTCTTCCAGAATGTGATTGATAGATAAGACTCCTGGTTGGCTGGGAGGCTAGCTGGTTAGGATATCTCTGCTCTTTATCACTTCTGGAAATAAGTTCAAAGGTTGCTTAGATAATAAAAATCAGTTACAGAAAAAAAATATTGGGTTGACCCAAGGTTCATTGGAGTTTTCCATAACATCTTACAGAATGAACTTTGTGGCCAACCCGATGTGATGATGATGACTTTTAAATCTTTGATGTTGACATGGAAAAACATCTTGTCTCATTTAGACAAGACTGTTCTCTTCTCGGGTTACGAGGAAAATGAGTATTATGTGCAATGCAGAAATTACATAGCTGAACGGAAAGAGCAAGCAATCATAAAAATGCAGGGTAGTAAAAATATCTCTCAAATAGAGCATTAAATTCTCATGTAAAAAGAAGAGTTACTGGGAATATTTTTAAGAGATTCAGTAATTTTCTGGCAATAAGACTCACATTTTAAAAGATACTAACTGAGAACTTCAAGATGTACAAACTGATTTAGTAAAGGTAGAGGAATCAGACATCAAATTGCCAACATACACTGGATCATAGAAAAAGCAAGGGAATTCCAGAGAAACATCTACTTCTGCTTCATTGACTATGTTAAAGCCTTTGACTGTGTGGATCACAGCAAATTGTGGAAAATTCTAAAGAGATGGGAATACCAGACCATCTTACCTGCCTCCTGAGAAAACTGTATGCAGGCCAAGAAGCAACAGTTAGAACCAGACATGGAACAATGAACTGGTTCCAAATTGCCAAAGCAGTGCATCAAGGCTGTACACTGTCAGCTTGTTTATTTAACTTTATGCAGAGCACATCATGTGAAATGCCAGGCTGGAGTCACAGTGGCTGGGGGAAGTATCAACAACTTCACATATCCATGGGGTCACAAAGAGTCAGATATGACTTACTGACTGAACCGCAGCAACACTGCCTGTTGAGTTTGATTGTACTAGTTTATCTCTGATTCATTAGCATGGAGTATTTGCATTAAACTTTTTTTTTTTACTACTATCCCAGGTGAAAAAATGATAATCTCAGTGCTTAAATCCACTTATTTTGAACATTCTCCAAAAGTTTGTCATTTTTATTTTTTGTTCATGATTATTTTCTGTCCTCTTAAAGAGATGGATTTTTTATATTATTCTAATTAAAGTTATAAGCTTTTAATATATTTTATGGATTAAAGAAATGGCCATATGGGCCCCTTTTTTTTTTTTGACAGACATGGTTACTTTTTAATTTGAAGAAACAAAAAAAAGTATGTTTTAATAAATACTGGAGAAACATTGACCAAACAAACATACAAAGTGACTTCAACATTTAAAAAACTGCAACGAAAGTTCTGCTTTATAACAGTTATAACTTATTTTCTTTTTACAATATTTAAATACAGAAAGCACTTGCCAGCTATTTCATAATACTGCCCAAAGCATAATGCTGCATTAATCAGAGCATATCATGTTGGTAAAACATCTGTATTTCTTGGGGAAAATGACTGGAATGGTATTTTCTTGCAGAGACAAAACAAAGTGCTTGTAAGACACAGACTGAGTGTTGTAATTACCTTAATCTCCTCTCCTGCCACAACTGAATGAACGGGAGCATGGCTTCAACACTTCAAAAATGAAGATTTATCATTGGAAAGAAAGCTCATTTTCAAAAGTTCACTCTCTAGAAATGCCATAGGATAGTGTAGGACTGACATTACATAATTTTCCTCTAAGGATTCTCAAAAGCTTGGAACAGAGGGCCATTCCTATCATGTTCATTGAAAGATATTGAAATAAGCCAACTGATTATCAAATGTTGCCAACTTTGGAGCTTCATCCCAAAATAGGCCTTTTGCTTTGTACTTTTGGTCTCTTACATCCAGACAACTTAACTCACAAACTGTGCTTTCTGCTACTATCCTTCATTCGTTATCTCGGTCAGGTGAAAATATCAATAGTACCTACATGGTTTCCCCCTTGGATCATTCTATGATGTCATACCAAGACACCTTTTATTTGACGTTGCATTTTTATCAATGATGGCCAAAAAAAAAAAATCACACACCCTCTTTTCTAAACAGCACACAAAAATATCACATTGAGCAATTTACCACTTTTTAATGACAATCACAAGGATGAACAGAACCATCAGACTGAATAAAAATTGACACTTTTCCTCTAGTTGACCTATTCAATCTTTGTAGTACTGGTCTCCGCATCTCGAAACACTGCAAAAGCCTTCCTTGGGAACCATGTCGCTCAGCTATCTTCAGGACAGCAAGCTTTCAAAGCCTCACCAACTTTCCTCTGGATATCCCATGGGTCCTGATACAATTTCCATTTTAATGATGAGCTAGGAGAAAATTAGATCACATCCTCTAGAAAACTAAATGCTAAGGTCACAGTGCCAGTTCCCCAATGAGGATGGTATATTAATATATACTTTTTTGTAAAGGAGATTAAAACACTTAAAAATTAAATCAAAGTAGAGATCCGTGAATAGAATGTAACAAAGAAAACAAAAATGCAAGCACCATTCAGAGTGTGGTTTTTCTTCTTGGAGGTACTCGCATTCCTCTTCTTCAACCTCTAGCCCCTCTGAATCTCTCTTTTTCGGCATATTTTTCAAGTCACATTTCAAAACTCTTCAATGAACTCACTTCCCACCACTTGTTCTACATGGCAAATCTAAGGACAGGATTCCAAAAAGATGAACAATCTTTCCAAATGCCTCCTAAGCCTCCAGAACATGTGACTTTGGCTGTGCACTTTGTTCAGACTTCACCTTTCTATTTTGTTGGTGGTGGTTTTTACATTTAATTTCCTTGTCCTCATAAAAAATAACCGGAGATTCACATCACAGTACAACCCTTGGCTTTGTCCTTTCGTAAGTCTGTAGCCAGTGCCGAGAGTTCTGGTCTGCTAGGCATATGTGAAATCCACTTTGTCGCCCTCTGCGATTTGTTCCGCTTAACGTTTTTATTTGTCTTGTTTACACATGCCAAGGTGGCCACGTGAAAAATGTCTCTGACGCTATTTTCTGACTGTAAAGCTGAGCATTCAATGTAAGTAGCTGCTCCGATCTGTTTGGCCATATTTGCTCCCTAGTCATAGGACACCGGTGTCTGCCTGTGATTCGAGAGCTCTACTAATATACTGACATCTGTTCGAAGATCAGATTTGCAGCCAACCAAGAGCATTTTGGTGTTGGGACAGAACTCCTGGATGTCACCCTTCCACTTTTTTAGGACCCTGTCCGGAGTCTCTGCTCTACTGATATCAAAGCAAATCAGCACAGCGTCCGAGTCTGCGTAAGAGAGGGGCCGGACGTTGTCGTAGTAAGGAGACCCCGAAGTGTCCCAGAGGCTCAACTCTATTCTTTGTGTGTCGATTTCAAAACTGGCCGTGTAATTCTCAAACACTGTAGGGACGTAAATCCGACTCCCATACGGGCCCTTGACTCCTCCTAGCCCTTCGCCTGACCAATCAAAGCCCAGACCCAAAGCTATTGTTCTGAAACTGCTACAGCAAATACCTTCCATACTCTGGCACCATCTGCCATAAAACCTCAATTCTGGTTTAACCTACTGGTCCTCTTCTCTGCTATCATCCTCATTGCTGAGCTCTGCCAGAATAAAATTACGTGTGGGGGTCAGTGACATTAAAACTCCTCAGTCAGGGCCTCAGCTGTCCAGTAATACTCCATGTCCCTACTCAGCTTCCGACCATATTCCCAAACACATATTTCACACATTCACATGAAAGAGTAAAAATTCAGTATAAGAGGCATGCAATAAAAAGTACTCTTTCCCTTATAACTATCTCTTAGTTCTCCAGTTCTCTTCCCTAGAAACAAAAGCTATTGCTAGTTTCTTAGGTAACATAAACATTGCTTTCTGGAACATTCTGTCATATGCTTTGTTTTTTTCTACATTGAAACAATCTGAAAAATACTGAAAAGCTTCACCTACAGTAAAAAAACTATTTTTTTTTCCCTGAATTATTTGAGAGGAAGTTGCTAACATAATGCCACATCACCCTTGGTTGTATTTCCCACTAACAGGATCATTCTACATAACCACCAGGCAGTCATCAAATACAGGAAATCAGCAGTGTTACAGGGCTATCATCTAATCTTAGGCCCTGTTTTAAGTTTTGCCAGTTGTCCTAATACTGTTCTTTGTAGGCAAAGATCCAGTTAAGAATTATAGGTTGTTGTATTCATTTGTTATGTCTTTTTATCGCCTTCATTCTGAAGCAGTTTCTCAGTCTTTTCTTGGCTTTCCTGACCTAAACACTTTTGAAGATTACAGACCAGTTATGTTGTAGAATGTACCTCAGTTTGGGTGTGTCTGCCATTTCCTGACGGAGAAGGCAATGGCAGCCCACTCCAGTGCTCTTGGCTGGAAAATCCTGTGGATGGAGGAGCCTGGTGGGCTGCAGTCCATGGGGTCACAAAGAGTCGGACACCACTGAGCGACTTCTTTCACTTTTCACTTTCATGCATCGGAGAAGGAAATGGCAACCCACTCCAGTGTTCTTGCCTGGAGAATCCCAGGGACCGGGGAGCCTGGTGGTCTGCCGTCTATGGGTCGCACAGAGTCGGACACGACTGAAGCGACTTGGCAGCAGCAGCCATTTCCCGAAGGCTGGATTTAGGCTGTGTGTGAGGATCATGCAGGTGAAGCAATGTTTCTCTAATTGCATCCTCTCAGGTGGCACACAATTTCAGTTTGTCCCATTACTGACAAGGTTCATTTTCATCACTTGATTCAGGTGGTGTCTGCCAAATTTCTCTACTGTAAAATTTATTTCTCTTGGTAATTAGTGTTTTGTGAAATAATTGTGAAACTATTTAAATATTATATTACTCATTATCTAATTAGCTTATATCATGATTTGCTACTTTATTCAATTGGTTATTTTCTATTAAATTTAATATTATTTTAATGCTCACCCATTTAGCAAGTGGAACCCCTTCAAACCAGCTTCTGTACCCAGTTATCATGTCCCCATCATTCTTGCAGCATCTTCCTTATTTTCTGGCACAAATATGTGTTCCAGGCGCTACTTCTACTTTCCCTGCATCAGCCCTGACTTCACTATCTTGTTTCTTTTTAGTGGAGAATGATGTTTAAAAGCCAAGATCTAGATGCTAGGTGTTCTCACTGATACCAGTTCCCAAGCCCTCTCAGTGAGAGTGACAGAACTTACATATGTGTTCACGTACACCCGCAAGCATATTCCCTTCTGAATCAATCTATCAATCGAAAATATCCTGTCATCACACAGATATCTCCATTTCCAACCTAATATCTCAGGTTTCACTCTAGCTATCTCCTTTTCCTTATTTCTTACTACTTTCTCAGTGAGAACTCTGGTTTCAATTTTCCTTAGTAGATTTACTTATTTTAGCAAAACCCTTGTGTGTATAACAAATTCTCCACTGCGCTCTCTTGTGTGCGTATTTTTCACACTCCACGTGAAAGTACTCCACACCAGCAGCCTTTCTTGGTGGGCTGCCTCTTCACCCGGCTTGGGTTCTGACATTTCTGGCCACTGGCTCCTGCCTACGCTACCACCTTCACCCGGAATGAACACTTGCCTTGCATTAGAACTGAATTATTCAGGAATGAACTGGCATAGAAGAGGAAAAGTGAAGCTTGCTCTTTAAAACTGCTATTTTATGACTAATTTAAATATCACAATTATGTCTACAC